TACACGTGCCATGGCTGCTGGAAACCGTAATCATCTCAAAAGACTGTTCTCGGAGATACACCAAACCAAGCACTTACTTAAGTCATTCCGTAAGCTTAAGGAAGAAGAATACGGGAACCATGAGCCAAAGAACAAGCCTACCATCACCCAGGCGAAGCTGTCTGTAAGAGACATTCCTCCGTTTCAGCTTAAGGGATCTCATGTGTGGCGTCCAGACAAGGAGGTGTTTGAATCAGCTGTGCATTTCCTTTCAAGTTTCCAAAAAGTCCTCAACACAGGCAGCGTAAACAAGGATCTCGAGTGGCAAAAGTGGCTACATGTCGCATTGCATCAAGACCACGATGAATGGTTTGAATCCGAATTGGCCGACAAAGGATATACATGGGAGCAGGCGAAAGTTGTATTCAAGAAGCGTTTCCAATCGATGGATTACATCGTCTCCAAGGCCACGCAAGCGTACTCAATCACCATGAACTCTGATGAGTCGATTCTGGATTTTGCAACACGTTTCCAAGCATGTTACAGACAAGGAGGTCTCAAGGATGGTGAAGGTTTGGCGTTACGTTTCATGGCTGCCTTACTTCCACAAGTCCGTGACAGGGTGAAATTGGCATGGCACGCCAAACACAATGGACATCCGCAACGAGTCGATGATATCATTCAAGTCGCCCAAACCATCACGGAGGACAAGAGGGTCATGGATACTTATCAACCACGTAACAACTCACACCGTCGACATGGAAACAAGCGCTTCCGCCGCCATTCGCCATATGCTGGTTCACGCAACATGCCAAAACGATCAGGTGGCTCATCCCATGCAGCTGTTGGTTGCGATTACCACGGACCCAAGGCACACCATTCATCGCAAGAGTGCTTCAAGCTGAACAAGAACAGAAACAGCAAGTGCGATTATTGTGGCAAAGAGCGTCTACCAGGCCACAGGTGTGACGAGTACCGCCAGGCGATGGCGTCACGCCACAAACAGAACAATACCAATGGCACATCTACCACTCACACAGTGCGTGCCATTGACAGGGATGACCATACCCCTTCACAATCTCAAAATGACTATCCTACCAATGATGATATTATGGAGGAAATCTTCTCCGAATTGGACGCAATCAGCCAACATGATCACACCTCGCATTCAGGTAACATCATCATAAGAGCAAGCACCACTTTTCATTCACAAAATCACTCACTCATGACTCCTATCATTATACAGGATAAACGCCTATTAGGCTTAGTGGATAGTGGTGCAAGCGTTTCAATAATAAATGAAAGTTTATGTCACAAATATTCTTGGTCAATCATACCAGCTGAAGGCTCTTTACAATTTGCGGGAAAGAATCATACCACACGCCGCATAGGCGTTACACAGCCTCTTACCATTCATTACAATAATAAACCTCCTTTCACGCATCAATTCGAAGTCATGCAAACGGGGGACAACATCGATTGCTATGTTGGTCTTGATCTATTCTCACGTTTAGGCATCTCTATACACAACCTTGCATTCAAATGGGATGACACCCAGGCTAATCCTGAAAAAGATTATGACACAACATATGCGGACATTGTGCAACCCAACGAATCTCCCGTTGGCACTAAAGAACAACGCGAACAAATGATGCGCGAATTAGAACCATACATGAAGGCTAATGCAGCCATACCTCAATCATCTTTCTGCACCATACCAGAATCTATCATACGCTTGCCTACACCTGAAGGTGAAAAAGTCTATCGCAGGCAATATCCATTACCCATAGCTCTTGAGACCATCATCGACGATGCTGTTAATACATGGCTGCAAAATGGTACCATCATACGTGCCAGCATTGATAACGGTTGGAATTCACCACTTACTCTTGCCGATAAAAAAGACGCGTCCGGCAAAAAGACAGGCAAAAGACCGTGCTTAGATCCACGACTCATTAACCAATTACTACCTGATGATCGTTATCCTCTTCCATTGATAAAACAAATCTTCCATCGCTTACATGGTTCAACGATTTATACCACACTTGATCTTAAAAATGCCTTCCATCGCTTCCGTATTCATCCAGACGATCAACACAAAACCACTTTTACTCATCGCAATATACAATACATGTTCCAAGGTTGCCCCTTTGGGCTCAAACCTCTATCATCCAAATTCCAACGAGTTATGACATACATCTTTAAAGACATGCCTTTTGTTGAAACCTTCGTTGACGATATCGTTATACATTCTACTACATTCAATGAACACACTGGGCATATTAAACAAGCCATCTCTGCACTCACACACGTAAATCTTATTCTCAATCCGGCTAAATGCCACTTTGCACAACATACCGTATACCTTCTTGGCTTTACTATCTCTGCCAAAGGCAAACGTCCTGACCCACGTAAAATTGAGCATGTACTACAATGGCCTACACCTTGTACGGGTAAAGATATCCAAAGCTTCTTGGGCATCGTCAATTACTTTCGAGATCACATACCAAAAATTGCTCAACTCAATGCTCCATTAGAACGCCTTCGCAATGAAAACTCACTTCAGGGCAAATGGACCGCCGAACATGATAAGCACTTTTCACTGCTCAAAAAGATCCTATCTTCTGATCTCATCTTACATCATCCTGATCTACGACATCCATTCTATATTGCCACTGATGCCTCAAACACAGGCATTGGCGCTGTTCTTTTCCAAATTGTTGACAATGACAAACGTTACATTGAATTTGCTGCCCGAGCTTTATCAACCTCTGAAAGGAATTACTCTACTACACGACGCGAACTTCTCGCTATTGTCTTTGCCTTACGTCGTTTTCATCACTTTGTATGGGGAAACCCATTTACTTTGTATACGGATCATCGTTCTCTCACACACCTGTTCACTCAGCCTATCGCCAATTCCATGATGATTAATTGGTTCGA